TTATAAATAATATTAGTAAAATAATAAAGTCCTATGTCTGTTCTATTTTATTCTTCCAAATAAAATAATATAATATTGTATAACTTTTATTACCTAAACGGCTTTAACCTTGCTGGTTAAATCAATGTTACAGTTTCGCAAGTGACAGTGCGTCAGTGCGTCTGTACGCGGCAGTCGCGGCACGTATACACGGCATGTCACGTCATGTGCGGCCAATGCGACACCTGCCATCCCTTCCACTTGCGACCGCATGCGCTACCTTAACCTTATTCCGCGCCGCCCGCACCGGGTGAGTTCGGCTCGAGTCTTCGCGCCGGCCGGACGTGTCTGAGCTTGCTTCCGTACGGTGAGGTTATAGGTTGACTGTGCGGCCGTCTGTGTTTCCCCGTGGGATCGACTGTGCGTGGTGTGCCTTCCCGGTGTCGGACCCGGGATTTTCGCGGCTCCCCCCTCGGAGGGGGAACGTTCCTGGCGAGGCGATAGACGCGAACTTGCTTGAGAGTGATATCCCGATTCGTGTGCTCGGTGCTATGTCGACGGAGAACAATTCGTTGTCTCTGGACGAACAGTCCTTCGACGAGTTTGCGCGAGGTATTTCTCAGGATTTCCCCCGGCCGGGGACAACGTATCGCGGAGGGTCTTCTGCGAAAAGACTCAGGGAGGAGGAGGACATGTCCCCCGAGGACACTGTCGCAAAGAAGTCGCCTTCTCCGCAGGACGTGGAAATGGAGGAGAGTGACGAGGGGGATCTCCGGGTGGAGTCCCCCGAACACGACGAGGAATCCGGGACGGACGAGGCGCGGTCGGGCGCCACGTCGACGACTCGTGATGAACAATTAGAATCACGTGATATGAATGCGGTCGCTACCGTTCCCGACGATCTAAACAGAGAGTATTATATTGTGAAGGACAACACGCTTACGTTACGTGATCCAAATATTGACGATCATCGCTTCCAGAAGCCTGTGAAATTTGACGACGATTTCCGAGGTAAGGCGTGTATTATTCTTCGCCTGCCTCAGGATCAGACCACGATAAAAAAGGAAAAAACTTGATAAAAATATGGATGATTTTAAATGAACTAACTATAATTCCTGTGTCTGTTACGATGAATAATCATTATTCCGCAGAAGCGTTGTTTAAGGATATCTACGATGCCAACTTGGCCCTCGAAAAGATTAATTCGCTCAAGAATCCAGTCAAACTCACAGCTAATGTTGAACAGAGAAACAGAGAAACTAATATGTAAGGGAGTTATCTCTGATTGGCCGTCGTCCATACCGGCTCTGTGGGATAATATACGTGATAGGAGCAGAATTTTCAGCTTGGAGAGGATGACCCGCAGAAAGTGGGACCCTAATAATAATAAAACGACGTATTGCAGTACTGACAACATTATGATCACGTTCAAGGATAGCAATATTAGAGACTTGGAGATTTTCGCAAGCGGTGTTAAGCTTAGAGTGAGGCCATTTGTCCAACAGGTGAGACAGTGTTTCAATTGCTATAAGTTCGGCCACACCAAACTTAACTGTAAGAGTGAGACCCGCTGTATTGTCTGCGGTGACAAGGCCTACGGCCAGTGTGACAAGGAGACGCGCTGCTGTAATTGCGGAGGCTCTCACAGGTCTACATACAGAGGATGTCCGGCGTTTGAAAAAAATAGAAATATTAATGTAGTGATGGCTCAGAAGAACATTTCTTTCCACAGTGCCAGAAGGATAGTTGAAGGAGAGGTTCCGCCTTCGGCCGAATTTCAAAATAAATTCTTGGACCAGCGTCCGTGGCCTGCTTTGCGCCCGACAACATCGTACGCGGAGGCTTTGAGAGGGACCAATCGCCCCGTGCCCACCCCGAGGCAGGGGCCTTCACGAGGGGAGACGCGCGCGGCCCCCCGGAACTTTTACAAATCGTTTAACCCCCGCGAAGGTGAGATCACCAAGGACAGGTGGGGTATCCTCCTTGCCAACCGGGAGGCTGATGGAAGCAGAGAATCGAGAGACGTTGGCCCGGACGACTTGGCCTCGTTGGAGAAGCAGAGGATTTTGAACTCGGTGGAAGTGTTGATTGACATGCTGCGAAGCACCGATATCCGTGCAGTAGTACGGCGAGCGTTGGAGCAGGCAAATTTTGGCGGGTCCCCGGGAGAGTCTTCTCCTTCTCCCCCCTCCCAAGGACTATACGGGACGGCCCCTGTTACGGGGGTCGTCCGATCAAGGTATTCTGGACAGCTAGTTAATCAACGATATATATATAGTAATTAAATTCAAGATCTTATTATGGAATTGTAGAGGATTCCGACCTCACAAGAATGAGTTATCTAAGATCTCAATGGATTATGACATCGTTGTCCTTACCGAGACTCGATGTTCGGCTCGCCGCGGAGTATATCTTCTCGGATTCAAGACGCTTAATGGGGACAACGCTCTCGGTAGCGGAGGAGTGGCGGTCGCAGTCCGGTCTCATATTAGATTTGACATCATCAGACTTGGCGGGATGCCTGTGGGATACGATGTTTTGGGGATCAGCACCTCCAACTTACGGAAAAACTTTAACATCTTTGCCGTCTATAGACATCCTAGAACAAACATCGGTCCGCGCGACCTCAGGGAAATTATGAATTCTGCTGACGGTAATACGCTTGATTCCATTATCCTAGGAAATTTTAATGCACACAATACTGCATGGAACTGTGCCTCTACCAACGTGAGCGGAGAGACCTTGCATGACCTCATGGCTAATGGTGGCTTTACCTGTGTTAATTTTGACACCATATCACGTATAGGGTACAGTGGCCAGAGGGATTCCAACATCGACCTGCTGTTTGCCAACGGCGACCTGGCGGGGGAAATCGAGTACTCTCAATTGGAGGAAACGTGCGACAGCGACCACGTGCCCATCGCCTTCTCATTCAACACTGGAGAGCAGGTCTATGAAAAACTCTCCAATAGGATTTCTTCTAAGAAGACGGACTGGGGAAAATACCAGGAGGCCGCCGAGGGGAGGATGCGGCATCTCTTTGCGGACATCTCGGACCTGGGATCGGATTTCTCTGGCTTCTACCAGTCTTTCGTGCGGGCCGTTAAATCTTCGGTTGAGGAGGCCACGGGTCGACGTGGCCGCGCCTCTGGAGGACGAAAAATATCGCATAGATGGTGGAATGCGGACTGCGACGCTGCCATTGCCGAGAGACGAAGAGCCTTTCAGGCTTTTAAAAAAACTCGAGATACTCACACCTGGCACTGCTATAAGCGCTCATGTGCTGTTGTGAAAAAGACGCTGTGCCGAGCCAAGAAGGAGAATTTCGAAACTTTTTGCCAATCTATAAATAGATTCACTAGTTTGCCATACGTATGGAACACGCTGCGGATATTAAAAAATGCTCGCAGTAAGATCGAGTGAAACAAATGGCAGTCCAAGAACAGGGAAGCGGAGATCAGGAGGACAATTGACTGTTTGGCCCCCTTCGTGGGCGCCGACCCTTTACCGAGCGCGGAATATGTCGCTGGAGAGGAGCAGTTGGACGCGCCATTCACTGCTGAGGAGCTCTCTAGAGCCCTCGAAATGATTCGTAGGGATTCAGCCCCAGGCTGCGATGGATTGGAGTACAGGATGATGAAGCTTCTTTCGGACGAGGGCAGATGCTGTCTGCTGGAGATATACAATCATGTTTGGAGAACGGGAGTTATTCCCGCTGATTGGCTACAGTACCAGGTCGTCTTCATTGATAAGGTAGGCCGCGAGAAGGTTCGCCCGATCTCCCTTTCTTCATGTGTGGGCAAAATCATAGAACGTATGATCAACGAGCGACTGATCTGGTGGGCGGAGGCAAATGACAAATTTAGTCCTTCTCAGAGCGGGTTTAGGAGGGGCAAGTCGTGTGCGGACAATTTGGTCAGGATCACATCGGACATCCGTGCTTCTCTGTGCGCCGGGGAGTATACCCTGGCCGCCTTCCTGGACGTTTCTGCGGCTTACGACAGTGTGGAGTTCGGGATCATGCTGGACAGAATGGTGGCGCTTGGCTGTCCTGCTGGTATCGTCAATTTCGTCAGGAAATGGCTATACCGACGTAATGTTCGATTTATTATAAACCCTGGTGAGTTTGTGGATCGACATGTTTACAGGGGCCTCCCGCAGGGCGCCGTCCTTAGTCCGGTGCTGTATGCCTTGCTCACTCAGCTGCTGCGTGACGTTTTACCGGAGGGAGTGGAGATAGTGGAGTTCGCCGACGACATTGGCCTGTATGTGTCCGGATGGAACCGAGAGCGTAACCGGGCTCTCCTGGAGAGGGCGGTTAACGCCATCTCTGAGGCATTGCGGGGGATCGGCTTGGACCTGGAGCCTAGCAAAACCGTCTTGGTTGAATTCAACAAGTCTGGATACTGTGACAAGAATCTGTATATCGAACTAGACAAAGTGAAAATTTACAATAGCTGTGGTGCCAGATTTCTCGGGATCTGGCTCGATAATGGTCTCAACTTTCACCACCAGGTTCAACTTGTCAGAGGAAAGGTGAATCGAGCCAACTCAATCATGCGATACCTGTGCCGAGTTTCCAAGGGCATGGAGGTAAACACGGCTCTTATGCTATACAAGAGCCTGGTCCGCTCGGTGGTGGACTATGGTATTTTTATATACTTCCCGAGGGACGCGACCTACCGCCTGAAGATGGAGCGCACTCAGTTTATGGGGATCCGCACGGCACTTGGGTTTAGGAATAGCACCCCTACCAATGTTCTTCTGGCCGAAGCTAAGGTTACGCTACTTCAGGATAGAGCGGTGATGCTCGGGAAGAACTTTGTTTCCAAGGCCATTGCGTGGGGCAACGAGAGTCTATGTATGTACGAGACTCAGCCGGACTTTCGACTGTGAATGCTTCTGTCGCTTTCGTCTACCTACGTACAGGTTCTCGCTGATATCGGACGTTTGGAGGTCGTTGAGATTTAGAAATAATATGGGATCCTCTGTGAGGAGGGAGGTCTTCTGTGGTCCTTATAATGCCCACACGTTCCGCCCTCGGGTTGAGCTTGATATTGGAAAGACCAGAAAACGAAGAAATTTTAAGACAACGCAATATCGACACGGAGACACGTGCGTCTCGTAATGATATGGAGATGGAAGTGATTAACGATGAGGAATCTCAGGAATTAAATCAGGATCCGTATAGTAATTTTGGTGATATTAGTGTTAATGATCCCCTCTTACCGTCCGTACATTTAGGCTGTGATGGGAATGCCGGTGAATCACGTGATTCTGGCGTGGCAATCAACAGTGTACCTGATGCTCAAGCCATTGTAAAATATGTAAACACTTCTGCCAGTATTATTAAGGAGGCATTTGTTGTTAGTGGAACTACCTTAAAGGCTCGTGACTTTTCTGACAATGATTCATCGGAAATTCGGAAGTTCACTAGATATGCAGATGATTTCAGTGGTAAAGCCAGTATTATTTTACGTCTCCCTCCTGTTCAGACCACGACTAGAAGGGGTAAAAATGAAATTAAGATTTGGATGATTTTGAATGAGCTTCGGATCTGCCTACTGACTGTTACTATGATTAGCCACTTTTCAGCGGAGGCTGAATTTAAGGATTTTAAAGACGCCAATCACGCACTCGATACGATTGATGCTCTCGGAGACCCAGTGAAGCTCAAGGCCAACTTGGAACAGCGCTTCGTTGTTAGCAAAGGTGTTGTCTCGGATTGGCCTTCGTCAATCCCGGAATTATGGTCGAGTATACAGGATAAATCTAAAATCTTGAGTATGGAGCGTATGTACCGTAGGAAGTGGGATCCGTTGAGTAGTAAAACTTCGTTAGTAGCCACGGACAATATCGTGGTGACATTTAAGGATAAGAACATCCGCAATTTAACTGTTTTCGATAAAGGTATCGTCCTCAGGGTCCGTCGATATGTTCCTCAGGTCCGTCAATGCTTTAATTGTTTTAGATTTGGTCACACTAAACTAAACTGCAAAAGTGAGACGCGCTGCATAATTTGTGGAGATAAAGCCCATGGTCAATGTGATAGGGAACAACGATGTTACAATTGCGGGGGCTGTCATAAGTCCACGTTTAGAGGCTGTCCTTAGTTTGAAAAATCTAAAAACATTAACATCGTTATGGCTCATAGAAACATTTCTTTTTATAGCGCGAAGCAGATTGTGGAGGGAAAAGCTCCAGATTCTTCACCTGAATATCAAAACAAGCTTATTAATCCAACATCCTGGCCAAATCTCCCATCGTCGGCTGGACCCAATTCTTACTCTGAGGCCCTACGAGCTGACTCACGTGTTCCAACTGGGTCTACTGCTACAGCACAGAGAGACAAAGGGGATCGTCCCCCGCATTATTCAGTTAAGGACAAACGGAGGGCACCATATGAAGCTCCGCGTAATTTTTATAAATCTTTTGACCTTCGTTCCGGCGAAATCACTAGGGAGAAAAGAGGTATTATGTTCACCGCGAGTTGTCGGGCGGGGAGTGAGACTCCTTCCAAGGACAACCATATGAGAATGGGACATCAGGAGGATCACCGAATCTCAGAGACCATTGAGAGTATTTTACTGCTTCTGCGAAGGGTTCCGGGAGCTCGGATTAGGTTAATTCGCGCCCTAGCTTCGTCGGAAGCGCAAGATGGACAGGATGGGGGTTTTCCCCTGCATCCTGATAATACCCAGAGTAATGAGGAGATGAAATATAGAGAATCTTCAAGGTATAATAGGAATAAAGATAAATATCGCCCTAATTCGGCTTAAAAATTCAAATTACTTCTTTGGAATTGCAGAGGCTATAAATGTCATAAAAATGAATTATCGAAATTATCAATGGATTATGATATTAATGTTCTGACAGAGACTCGGTGCTCCGGTCGTAACTCGATATATTTTCCTGGATTTAGAACGTTCCAGAGCAGGAATTTACTTGGAAGTGGTGGAGTCTCTATTTCTGTACGTTCGCACATTTCGTTTGATATATTGACGATTACTGGGACTTCCCCTGCAATATATGATATGGTTGGCATCAAAACTTCGAATCTTGCCAATAACATCAATATTGTTGCGGTTTATAGACACCCTAGAGCTGGGATTGGTGCACGAGATCTTAATGCAGTTTTCAATTCTGTTAATGGTAATCCAAGTGATACTATTATCCTTGGCGACTTTAATGCCCACAACACTGCATGGAATTGTGAATCAACTAATAATAATGGAGAGATATTGCATGATATTATGGCTAATGAAGGTTT